CAGACTACTAACTTTATGTCTGCAAAAATTCAATGCAATCGGTTTAGTAGTTACGGCGTGAAGTCGGAACAAACAAACAAACTCACTTTCCGATTTATAATATTAGTAAGGATTATCCATCAGAACATAACTGTTCCACTGCTCACCAAAAGCCTCTTCTCACACGGAAAAGGTTTTTTTTAACGCATTCAGTGCCCATGACGCGTCTGTGCGTTTTGTGACACGACGCTATGTGCCCGGGACTCAAATATGCGTTCTATTCATTTGACCCTTTTTTTACCTGCTGCCCGTCGACGCGTCCGAGGGTCTATTGTTTCGAAACCCATATTTACACATATGTACTTCCTTATCTGATTTCTTTGATAAAGGTCATTACACACTTTGTACGAATTATAAAAAAAACTTATTCTACTACTACCAATGCAATAATCAATAATTTTGTTCAGCCGTTTCGAAATATAAATATACTTAGAACAATTGAAAAAAGAAATATCCACGTAAGACTACGATCACCTTTGGTGGTATTTTTTTTCAATGTTATCTCGATCATCTCTTTTTTTTCCAAGAAACCTAAAATTTCACATGACACATACATACGCACAATAGAATCACATGAGTTTGCTGATAACGGCAATACAATGCACGGCGGTACCTTAGAAGATTTTAAATACCAAGAGAGCTAAAGCCAAAATCTACCTAGATACCTAATTGTTTTTCCAAGAAACCTAATATTTCATATGACTCTTATCTACATACGCACAATAGAATCACATTAGTTTGCTGATAACGGCAATACAATGCACGGCGGTGCCTTTGAAGATTTTAAATACCATATCCACCAGGCGCTATAGCCAACTATCGAAATGTTTTAGGATAAACCTATACGAGATAATAAGTACATTACTAAATATCTATGGTGAAAGACTATAATTTATATATACTGGCATCGCGTCGTGACATACGTTTAAAAATTCAACATCAACCTCCTGTTTTTGAAGTTGGTTAATTAGTATACTAAACCCATCCCCTAAATGTAACAGAAGTTTTTCTGAAAACCGCATCAAAATTGGTTCAACCAATCGCGAGATAATCGCGTACAAACAAACATACAGGTCAAACTGAGAACCTCCTTTTTTTTTAAGTCGGTTAAAATACAACAATGTTCTAAATATAAACCTACTTACCAACTATAGAATTATTACGTTCATCCTTAGTTTATATTTAGATAAATTTTTCAATTTCACTACATAAAATAAATAATCTTATGGATTATAAATTCCATTACAGTGTGTCATGACCCTAACTTTTATCTACAGATACATAATATTCTATCGTATTTTCGTAAGTATATAACAAACGCACAGACGCGTCACGGGCACTCGCCGAGAGTCGAACGGACGCATATATGAGTTTCGGGCACACGGTGAGAGCCGTAAGAACGCGTATATGAGTTTCCGGCACACGAAAAGGGCAAACATTGAACGCAATAGTGCGTGCGGGGCACTGTAGTATGTCTTATAATTCGGGCACTGGAGAAAATCCACTGGGCAGTGAATGCGTTAAGGGAGGAAAATCATCGAATGACTGCTCCCGCCTGGGTGAGGCGGGAGTGTCAGACTCTTACTGACTAAAAACCACCCCGTTCCTTCTCCTGCACTTCGAGCCGGAGCCCCGGTAACCCATTAGGTTCTCCGCGACACGGAAAAGGTTTAAGCATTGTGTTATGTATGATATCATAATTATTATTATACTAGCCTGCGACTTCGCCCGCGTGCCCGTTACATAAAAAGTGGTCTATGACCGACATACAGATCATAGTCTACCAAAGTCCTAAATTTCATCTCAATCTTCCCCGCGTCCCGCCCCCGCGTGCAAATACCGATTATTCCGCCCCCCTTTTTGTTGGGTGGGTAAAAAGTCCTCAAATTACTCTTGACGAAGTGACTCCTACAACTCTTAATAACTAAAAACTACCATATTCCCTCCAACACTTGCTTAAAGCCAGGGCCCCAGTACCCATATGACAGCCTACCCTCCAGCAAGTCGCGGAGAACCTAACGGGTAACCGGGGCGCCGGCTCGACGTGCAGGAGAAGGAACGGGGTGGTTTTAAGTCAGTAAGAGTCTGACACTCCCTTCCGCCTCACCCAGGCGGGAGCAGTCATTCGATGATTTTCCCCCCTTAAAAAAAAACCCTCCAGCAAGGCAACACCCTGGTGGGTCCGTCTGTGGTATCTGATGAAGTAATGACTCTGAGGCCCGCATTTTCGCGCATTTTACACGACGCGCCGTACGCTCGGGTCTGCTACGTGTCAGGTGATACTTGCCGTCCGCAGACCCGCGCTTACGGTGGCTGAGAAGGCGACGCGATACTACACCAAAAGCGTCTCCTGCGATAGACGAAAATGATAGAAGATAGATTTCGAGTAAGTCTAGAAAGTTGTCGAGGACGCTCGAAAGTGATCGAAGACTCTCGATCGTTTCCTAGGACGCTCGAAAGTGATCGAGGACGCTCGAAAGTGATCGAAGACGCTCGATCGTTTTCGAGGACGCTCGAAAGTGATCGAGGACGCTCGAAAGTGATCGAAGACGCTCGATCGTTTTCGAGGACGCTCGAAAGTGATCGAGGACGCTCGAAAATGATCGAAGACGCTCGATCGTTTTCGAGGACGCTCGAAAGTGATCGAGGACGCTCGAAAGTGATCGAAGACGCTCGATCGTTTTCGAGGACGCTCGAAAGTGATCGAGGACGCTCGAAAGTGATCGAGGACTCTCGATAGTTTTCGAGGACGCTCGATCGTTTTCGAGGACGCTCGATAGTTTTCGAGGACGCTCGATCGTTTTCGAGGACGCTCGATCGTTTTCGAGGACGCTCGATAGTTTTCGAGGACGCTCGATCGTTTTCGAGGACGCTCGATCGTTTTCGAGGACGCTCGATCGTTTTCGAGGACGCTCGATAGTTTTCGAGGACACGCTCGATCGTTTTCGAGGACGCTCGATCGTTTTCGAGGACGCTCGAAAGTGATCGAGGACGCTCGATCGTTTTCGAGGACGCTCGATCGTTTTCGAGGACGCTCGAAAGTGATCGAGGACGCTCGATCGTTTTCGAGGACGCTCGATCGTTTTCGAGGACGCTCGAAAGTGATCGAGGACTCTCGATAGTTTTCGAGGACGCTCGAAAGTTTTCGAGGACGCTCGAAAGTGATCGAGGACTCTCGATCGTTTTCGAGGATGCTCGAAAGTGATCGAGGACGCTCGATCGTTTTCGAGGACGCTCGATAGTTTTCGAGGACGCTCGATCGTTTTCGAGGACGCTCGATCGTTTTCGAGGACGCTCGATAGTTTTCGAGGACGCTCGATCGTTTTCGAGGACGCTCGATCGTTTTCGAGGACGCTCGATCGTTTTCTAGGACGCTCGATAGTTTTCGAGGACGCTCGATCGTTTTCGAGGACGCTCGATCGTTTTCGAGGACGCTCGAAAGTGATCGAGGACGCTCGATCGTTTTCGAGGACGCTCGAAAGTGATCGAGGACGCTCGATCGTTTTCGAGGACGCTCGATCGTTTTCGAGGACGCTCGAAAGTGATCGAGGACGCTCGATCGTTTTCGAGGACGCTCGAAAGTGATCGAGGACGCTCGATCGTTTTCGAGGACGCTCGATCGTTTTCGAGGACGCTCGATCGTTTTCGAGGACGCTCGATCGTTTTCGAGGACGCTCGATTGTTTTCGAGGACGCTCGAAAGTTATCGAGGACACTCGAAAGTGATCGAGGACGCTCGATTGTTTTCGAGGACGCTCGAAAGTGATCGAGGACGCTCGATAGTTTTCGAGGACGCTCGATCGTTTTCGAGGACGCTCGATCGTTTTCGAGGACGCTCGAAAGTGATTGAGGACTCTCGATAGTTTTCGAGGACGCTCGAAAGTGATCGAGGACGCTCGATCGTTTTCGAGGACGCTCGAAAGTGATCGAGGACGCTCGATCGTTTTCGAGGACGCTCGATCGTTTTCGAGGACGCTCGATCGTTTTCGAGGACGCTCGATCGTTTTCGAGGACGCTCGATTGTTTTCGAGGACGCTCGAAAGTTATCGAGGACACTCGAAAGTGATCGAGGACGCTCGATTGTTTTCGAGGACGCTCGAAAGTGATCGAGGACGCTCGATAGTTTTCGAGGACGCTCGATCGTTTTCGAGGACGCTCGATCGTTTTCGAGGACGCTCGAAAGTGATTGAGGACTCTCGATAGTTTTCGAGGACGCTCGAAAGTGATCGAGGACGCTCGATCGTTTTCGAGGACGCTCGAAAGTGATCGAGGACGCTCGATCGTTTTCGAGGACGCTCGATCGTTTTCGAGGACGCTCGATCGTTTTCGAGGACGCTCGATCGTTTTCGAGGACGCTCGATTGTTTTCGAGGACGCTCGAAAGTTATCGAGGACACTCGAAAGTGATCGAGGACGCTCGATTGTTTTCGAGGACGCTCGAAAGTGATCGAGGACGCTCGATAGTTTTCGAGGACGCTCGATCGTTTTCGAGGACGCTCGATCGTTTTCGAGGACGCTCGAAAGTGATTGAGGACTCTCGATAGTTTTCGAGGACGCTCGAAAGTTTTCGAGGACGCTCGATCGTTTTCGAGGACTCTCGATAGTTTTCAAGGACGCTCGATCGTTTTCGAGGACGCTCGAAAGTGATCGAGGACGCTCGATCGTTTTCGAGGACGCTCGATAGAAGTGATCGAGGACGCTCGATAGTTTTCGAGTTCGACTCTCGAATGTGATCGTGGACGCTCAATAGTTTTCAAGAACGATCGATAGACTTCGAATTTAAGACACTACTGACCGGTATAGGGCCCCAAACGTAATACATAACGCTAATAATGCTTGCGTCGAGTGGAATTTTTTCGTGGTGATGATATTTCTTATGCTTTCCGCTTACTCTGGACAATGATAGAATAGATATTAGGTTCTGCGAGCGACTTAATATTAATTAATATTATTTTCATTCCAGACTACTGCTCCGCAAAGAAGGGGTCAACCTTCGCACCTCAGCTGAGCTGGAGATCGTGAAGTCGATCAAAGAGAGGGCCTGCTACCTCTCTCCGAACCCTCTGAAAGAGGAAACGCTGGAAACTGAGAGGGCACAGTATACACTCCCTGACGGTACCGGATTGGAGGTAATTGTACATTTATCGTAGTAGCGGAGAACCTAACGGGTAACCGGGGCTCCGGCTCGACGTGCAGGAGAAGGAACGGGGTGGTTTTTAGTCAGTAAGAGTCTGACACTCCCTCCCGCCTCACCCAGGCGGGAGCAGTCATTTGATGATTTTCCCCCCTTAAAAAATCGTAGTACGAATGAGGTCTTACGGGTCTGCGGACGGCGAGAGACCCGAGCGTACGGCGCCCAGCGGTCCGCGCACCGCAAAGAGCCATCAGACCACCACGGATAGGCCCCAGTTGGGCTGATGCCGACACGGAGCCGCGGAGGACTTAACGGGTAACCGGGGCTCCGGCTCGAAGTGCAGGAGTAGGAACGGGGTGGTTTTTGGTCAGCAAGGGTTACCCAAGCATATAAAAGGCTACAGCTGAGCAAAGCCTCTTCTCACATGGAGAAGGTTTGAGCATTAATCACCTCGCTTGCTCAATGCGGGTTGGCGATTACAAACTTATAATTAGAAATTATAAGCCCAGGTTTTCTCACGGTGTTTTCCTTCACCGTTTGTCAGTGGTGTCTAGATAATCTTAGAAAGTACGTATAACTCGGAAAAAGTCATATTGGTACTTGCTGTTCGTAGGTTTCGAGCCCGTATCCTCATGCATGAGAAGCGGGCGTCTTAAACCTCCGGGCCACCACGACATAAATGCTTGAGAAAAGTAATTTAATATCTTACGCGATTTTTAATCATATTAAAGATAGTCATAATTATGATTGTAATATAATTTCAGATTGGTCCAGCCCGGTTCCGCGCCCCCGAGGTCCTTTTCCGGCCTGATCTCATCGGCGAAGAGAGTGAAGGTATGTCAGACTCCGTGCTACTACCTACTGAGAATTTCTTTGAAAAACCCCAGTAATACTTTGTCCGACCCGGGAATCGAACCCGAGACCCCTTGCTCGACAATCACACTTGCAAAAACTCGGCCAACGAGGCAGAAAATCGCGCAAGAGTAGCTAGTAAAAATATTTCTATGTATTTTCTTTTTTCAGGTCTACATGAAGTTTTAATGTTTGCCATACAAAAATCCGATATGGATTTGCGCAAAGTATTATATCAGAATATAGTACTCAGCGGTGGCAGCACCCTCTTCAGAGGCTTTGGAGATCGCCTTTTAGCCGAAATTAGGAGACTAGCGCCTAAAGACATGAAGATTAGGGTGAGTGACTTGATTTTATCTTAGCCTTTAAGTGGCCAAAGGCCTCTTCTTTGAGAGTTTGAGCATTAATCACAACGCTTGCTCAATGCGGGTTGGCGATTTCAAACTTATAATTAGAAATTTTAAGCCCAGGTTTCCTCGCAATGTTTTCCTTTATCGTTTTTTAGTATCACATCATTTATCAAAAAGTAGCGATATTTTTCCTTATTAAAAATCGCGGGTTACTCACGTGAATATACTGAGAAAAGCTCTACTAGTTTCGAACCACAGAGGGGTTCAGCGATTTGCGGTCATGTCAGTAGGTTGCACGACATTGCGACCGCGCAAGCTATTCATGAGGAAGAACCCCTCTGTGGTTCGAAACTAGTAGAACTTTTCTCAGTATATTCACGTGAGTAACCCGCGATTTTTAGTTAATTTTGTATTTTATTTAATGGGATGAGCCGGTAAACGAGCAGATGAATCACCCGATGGTAAGCAATCGGCGTCGCCCATGGACACCTGAAACACTAAAGGCGTTACAAGTGCGTTACCGGCCTTTTGGGATTAGGAATTTGAAGATTGTTGGGAATTGGGGAAGGGGGTAGTGTAATAGGGCTAAATCAAAGTCAAAATCATTTATTTCAATTTGGCCAGAATGGCACTTTTGAACGTCAATAAAAACAAAAATTAAAAGTGAAGCTATTGGTGTAGATTCCTATGTAGAAGAATGCCTCCCTCTATATTATGTCTCACGATAGTTATTATTGAAATATGTATCAGAGACATTGTAGAACATACTTTTTTTAAAAAGAGTAACGAATGGAGTTTCTTGCTCGTTCTTCTCCATTCGAATCTACTTTTTGGAATGAGCACCTAGCTTCACCTAGTTTCACTGACGGACTGACTGACAGACTATTATTTATTTTGTATTTGTTGACGTTTCAAAAGCACCAAACTATGGTTTAATTGAAATAAATGCTTTGACTTTGACTTTTATAAAAATATATTTTCCTTTTACAGATCTCAGCACCTCAAGAGCGTCTCTACTCCACATGGATAGGGGGTTCGATTCTTGCTTCACTCGATACATTCCGTAAAATGTGGGTCTCGAAAAGAGAGTATGACGAGGAAGGACACAGAGCAGTACATCGCAAGACATTCTAGTTTATTTATATATATATATAATTATTATATATTATAATGTAATAGTTTAACCATATTCAAGGTCATTTCATGGTTAACCCAAGCCTCTGCTAAAGGGTAGACGACTAATCTTTATTTTAATGTCCGTCTGGTAGATTATTTAAATCATTAGACACGTAGGTATTTTTTATTTTCTGCCTCGTTGGCCGAGTGGGCGCAAGTGCGACTGCTGCTCAAGAGGTTCGATTCCCGGGTCGGGCAAAGTATTACTGGGATTTAAAAATTTCAGTAGGAGCACGGAGTCTGGAATTGTGCCCGGTATATGGCAATAAGCTCACCCCCTATTACATGGGACTCATAACATAAATAGTGAAAAGTGGTTGTTACATTGTACAGTGCTATAATGTGCACCTCTGCCTACCCCTTCGAGGATAAAAGGCGTGATGTTATGTATGTATGTTTATTTTCTCACAGAAACAAATATTTTTTGTTATACGACACTTTGTTATACGATAAAAATTGTTTTATAATACGACAAAATAAAAAAATACGTGTCTAATATTTTTTCATTACCTAACTGACGGACTAATTAGATTTTTAATTTTCATACCCTGTCGTCACATGTTTAGGAGTACGAGCTAGCTACGTCAGTTTAGAGTACAAATCGTACTCAAAAGTGACATCATGCGATATTTCAAATCAATATATCTTCTAAAGTATTTGTTTCTGTAAGAAAATGAAGAATACGTGTCTGATGATTTAAAATAATCTACCAGACGGGCATTAAAATGAAAATTAGTCATCTACCCTAATCCTTACTTCTATGAAAAAACCGTTTTGTACCATCACCTTTCAGATGCATTCGTCTCTGTCTAACCCTTCGGGGATTAAAAGATGTTGCGTGATGATTCCTAAATATGCACAACAGTAAAAATGTTATTCATACAAGGTGTTGTTTTAAAGCCGCGTCATTTTCTAGGACGTAACTCGGCTATCGATTCTGAGTCCGAATTAATAAAAAAAATGTACTTAATATTTTTCATTTTTCTGTAAATTACGGAAATCCGTAAGTGCGAACTACACGCCGCCGTCTTGTAACTAGATTTATAACGCGGCCTAACACACACAAACTCAAACACGTAATTGATATTATTCCTAATTCCATAAAACTCCAATAAGAAACATTGCTGTCGCTTATTCTGAAATAGTGTCGAACTTAAACGATTTATTATAGCCGTATTTTTAACTATTGGACCGAAACTTTCTCTTACATTGAACCAAGAAATGACACGGCTTCAAAACTACACCTCGTATATTATTATGTTTTCGGCTTACTCACGTAATAATTTGAACGATTTTGCATTTCGCGACCCGCGACGCGGCGACTGTCGCGCTGTACCGTGATTCGAGTAGCCAGTCGCGCGAAATGCTGCTCATGAATATGAGCCTCTAGCATGGCTTGAAACTAGTCGAGTTCCTCATCAAATAATTACGTGAGTAAGCCAAAAACATAATAATATATTCAGTATGTCTCACGAAAGTTATAATACAAATAATGTTATTTATTTTGCATTTAATATAAAATCTTCATGAGAACATTATTTTTTGTTTATACGAATTATTAAAACGCTTGTAACACCTCTAGCGTTGCGGGCGTCCATGTGCGCAGCTTGCTTACCATCAGGCGATCCGTCTGCTCGTTTGCCCTATAAAAAAAATACATAAAAGTCATTGACTGCCTCGTTGGCCGAGTGGTCGCAAGTGCGACTGCCGGGCGAGGGGTCTCGGGTTCGATTCCTGGGTCGGGCAAAGTATTACTGGATTTAAAAAAAAACACAGTAGTAGCACAGTGTCTGAAATTGTGCCCGGTATATGGCAATAGGCTCACCCCCTATTACATGGGACTCATAATATAAATAGTGAAAAGTGGGTGTTACACTGTACAGTAGCATAATGTGCACCTCTGCCTACCCCTTCGAGGATAAAAGGCGTGATGTTATGTATGTATGTAAAAGTTATTGAAATCAATTCTGAAATTAATTCGTATAAACAAAAAATTACATTTACGAAATGTATTGCGAATACAGAGGTGTATTAAACCTAGTGAGCGTCTTAGGCGCCCCTTTGTAACCAGTGCCTTTAGCCAAACGCCACTTTAGCGCTTGTCTACAGAGAGAGTAGAAAACTAAATGTATGGGGATGACACTGACAAGTGTCAAAATTTACGTCAATCCCATATAATTTGGTTTTCTATTCTACTAGTAGACAAGCGATTAACCCCTCGAGCGTCCTTATGAACACCCGGTGGATTATAAAAAAAATGCTCCATGCTGCTTTCTCTTTTATAAAATCTACTAGCTTTAACCCGCGGCTTCGCTCGCGTCACAAAAGAATAAAAAGTAGCCCATGTGACATATACCAATACACACAGCGCCATCTATACCAATACTTTTGTTTTTCCTCGGAAAAATCAATTTTTTCCGGGTTAAAAAGTACCCTATTATTTAATCCGGACTTCTAACTTTACGTCTGCAAAAATTCAAAGCAATCGGTTGAGTAGTTACGGCGTGAAGGTGGAACAAACAAACTCACTTTCAGATTTATAATATTAGTAAGGATTATTAATGTTTTGTTTTTATTTTGAGTGTATTTTTTATTTCTATTGTAATGATCCTTGTTTTCGTGTGCCAATGGCCAAATAAATGCATTTTCTTTCTTTCTTTCTCCAAATGTCACGTGTGCACCCGTTGGATCATGAGGAACGTGGACGCTCGACGGGGTAATGGCATTTGGCTACAGTTTGCTGGCGCCCGGCACTTATCTAGTTTGCCTTAGAGATAATACAGCTCTGTACAACAAAACTTAATCAGCTATCACGCTTTAAAATTGTAGGTAGGTAGTAATATTGCTTTTTATAATGCAGATAATAAAATGTTACACCTTTATAAGTCTTTCATAAACTATGTTTAAAACCCCCTCTTTTGACGTGACAACGTCTTATAAATTGGTTTGCCGGGTGACACTTCAAGAAACTGCGTTACGCTCCGCTCACGTTATGCGCTCACAATGAGAGCGAGTGAGAGGCACGCGTCCCTTCCACCCGGGCATGGTTAGCCCGCCTAAGAGCGAGAGAGACGGACATCGTTGTCACGTAAAACTTTCGCCCGTATACCGACTTTACAGGCAACCAATTTTTTTTTGAAGTCGGTTAATTAATATACTAAATCCTTCTCCTAAGTTACAACAGTTCTAAAAACGCATCAAAATACGTACTGCCAATCGCGAGGTAATCGCGCACTAACATAAATACATTCAGGTAAAATTGGGACTCATTTTTTTGAAGTCTGTTAATATACAGTGACTCGTGTAGTGTAGAGATTGTCCAGTCAACTGATGGTAGCGAGGTTCACTGTCCAGTGACACACGTACGCTGGTATCGTCATGAGCTAATGTTGACATGTAAACAGTGACTCGTGTAGTGTAGATGTCCAGTCAACTGATGGTAGCGAGGTTCACTGTCCAGTGACATACGTACGCTGGTATCGTCATGAGCTAATGTTGACATGTAAACAGCGACTCGTGTAGTGTAGAGATTGTCTATACAAGATGCAGTTTTTAAACTAAACTTATAATGATAATAGTCAACGTAAGTTTTGCCCAGTGTCGGACTCAGGCCGTCTGAGGATTTTTGGTGGCAAATAGCAATATACATTAACATCACTACATAGTATAAAACAAAGTCGCTATCCGCCGTCTGTCTGTCCCTATGTATGCTTAGATCTTTAAAACTACGCAACGGATTTTGATGCGGTTTTTTTAATAGATAGAGTGATTCTTAAGGAAGGTTTATATGTATAATACATGCATATTGCACCCGTGTGAAGCCGGGACGGGTCGCTAGTTTAAAATATTAGTGATTTGTATATTGCTGTATGGGTTGTATGGACTCCAAAATATTACCATTACACAATCAAACGTTGTATATTATGCGATACATTTAGTTATCGGCTGCTAAAATATAATTTTAAGCTAATTTGTAATGCATAAAGAACTTTTTATTTAATAAATTATTATTTTTTTCGATTCATTTTGTTTTATTTTTTACCTATGCACCGAGTTATGTCGCAAAGAACCTAACGGGTTACCGGGGCTCCGGCTCGAAGTGCAGAAGAAGGAACGGGGTGGTTTTTAGTCAGTAAGAGTCTGACACTCCCTCCCGCCTCGACCGAGCCACGAGGGAGAAGTCATTAGATGATTTACCCCCTTTAAGAAAGGAATGTACAGAGTTATACAAAGCCTATGTATCAAAGAGCTCGTACACAAATTGCGACAAGGCGTCTCCCAGGGTGACCATTCCTTCGACGACCGTCAACCGTACTAAACGTATTTTAAATTGAAAACTGGGTTGTGACATGGATCGTAAAAAGAAGTGTGCACTTCTGTTATTGCTTAGGAGATACAGGAAAAAGAAACAAAGAAGATTTTGGGAATATTTATTTATTTATTTATACGAATAGAATGGTACAAAAAACTAATAACACTACTTAATGAATATTGAATATACAATTGAAAGAAACAATACACTTAAAAACGTACCGTAAAACGGGGTAAATATGTAAATACAGGAATAATAATAGTATAATAACTATCCTGAGACATTCTAAATTAACTAAAATCACAGGTTACTCACCTGAATATACTGATGATACCGCTCATGAGGAAGAACCTCTCTGTGGTTCGAAACGAGTAGAGCTTTTCTCAGTATATTTACGTGAGTAACCCGCGATATTAGTTATGTGTTAGAATATTTTCTCATTTTCCTCTTCTGTATCTATTCACCCCTCTTCTGTATCTATTCACCCCTCTTCTGTATCTATTCACCCCTCTTCTGTATCTATTCACCCCTCTTCTGTATCTATTCACCCCTCTTCTGTATCTATTCACCCCTCTTCTGTATATGTTCACCCCTCTTCTGTATCTATTCACCCCTCTTCTGTATCTATTCACCCCTCTTCTGTATCTATTCACCCCTCTTCTGTATCTATTCACCCTCTTCTGTATCTATTCACCCCTCTTCTGTATCTATTCACCCCTCTTCTGTATCTATTCACCCCTCTTCTGTATCTATTCACCCCTCTTCTGTATCTATTCACCCCTCTTCTGTATCTATTCACCCCTCTTCTGTATCTATTCACCCCTCTTCTGTATCTATTCACCCCTCTTCTGTATCTATTCACCCCTCTTCTGTATCTATTCACCCCTCTTCTGTATCTATTCACCCCTCTTCTGTATCTATTCACCCCTCTTCTGTATCTATTCACCCCTCTTCTGTATCTATTCACCCCTCTTCTGTATCTATTCACCCCTCTTCTGTATCTATTCACCCCTCTTCTGTATCTATTCACCCCTCTTCTGTATCTATTCACCCCTCGAATTCTATTCACCCTGTTTTACCGTCATCATTATTAGATATACCTATAGTTCATTCATCTCTTTCGCAAAACTTCAAGCATTCCGACAAAAATAATCTTCTTTCACTCGATAACACATCACACTCTGGCGCTGAATCCAAGAATCGGTTTAAAAGTTTCATCGTCTGTGGTAATGGCGATTTAGCTCTACTGAATGTTCTGCAAGACGGTACAGCAAATAACTGGTGCTTTCTGTTGCGACAGTAATTGTCAGAAGCATAAATGCGAAGGAACTCATTGTGCAATTCATCAATTCGACCGTGAACAATTTTGTATATTATTATGTTGCATTTCCCGTCTAACTATTGAAGAGTTATAACCCCAAACACCCAAGTAAGAATAGCGTTGGGTATAAGTAAGGATAATAACCATTCGAGCGTTTGTACAGAGATTGGAATCGGTAAAATGCTTTTTGCACTTTTTCGATAAGTAACTCGTATGTGAATTCATAAGGATTCCATACGGCTGCGCTAGACTAGTATGCTACGTACAAACGTGTTATATAATAATTTATTGACATGCTGGCTATGAAAGTTCCGGGCGTTACGGAAAAAGAAGGATTTTGATGCGCGATGCGAATCAATTCGCAAGTTCTTGCGATGCGTAGAGGGAGCTCGCACATTTTTGGGATACGACGTCGCATCGCAGTTTTGTGCACGAGCCCAAAGTCAGAGTATTTATTTCAATTAAACCATAAGTAATTTGGTACTTTTGAAACGTCAACAAATACAACATAACATACATAACACCACGCCTTTTATCCCCGAAGGGTTAGGCAGAGTGCAGAGGCACTGTACAGTGTAGCACCCACTTTTAGGGGGTGAGCCTATTGCCATATACCGGGCACAATTCCAAACTTCGTGCTACTACTGAGAATTTTTAATAACCCAGTTTTACTTTGCCCGACCCGGGAATCGAACCCGAAACCCCTTGCCCGGCAGTCGCACTTGCGACCACTCGGCCAACGAGGCAGTCAATAAATACAAAATAAATAATAGTCTGTCAGATAATTCTGTCTGTCAGTAAGTGAAGCTAGGTGTTTATTCCAAAATGTAAATTCGAATGGAGAAGAACGAGCAAGATACTCCACTCCAAGGTGTCGCTGATGGTCAAGTGGAGTTTATACTAGTTTTGCATAGCCATACTTGATGGCACCAGGATCTACACTTCTACAGTAGATACAACCATACAAACACCGGAACACTGAAGTCCAACGTCCAATATAAACAACTGTCTTGGTTCCCGCAACGAAATAATTCATAAGACTACTGATGGATGTAACTGAGAATAAAATCTGGGATGTGCAAGCGGGATTTCGAAAAGGAATGGGGTGTACGGATCAAGTCTTTTCGTTACGGTGCATTTCAGAGAAAGTCTTAGCAAAGCATCAAAAGGTATTTTGTGCCTTTATAGACCTAGAAAAGGCTTATGACAGAGTGGTGAGGGATGAATTGTGGTCAACTCTGTCCATGTATGGGGTGGATAGCCACCTGATTCGCACTTAAATCCTTATACAAGATGTAGTTTTGAAACCGTGATATTTCTCGGGGGCATGTCACAGAAGTCATAAAGGTTCAATTTAAGAGAAAATTTCGGGCCAATAGTTAAAAATACGGCTATAATAAATCGTTTAAGTTCGACAGTATTTCAGAATAAGCGGCAGCAATGTTTCTTATTGGAGTTTTATGGAATTAGGAATAATATCAATTACGTGTTTGAGTTTGTGTGTGTTAGGCCGCGTTATAAAACTTGTTACAAGACGGCGGCGTGTATTTCGCATTTACGGATTTCCATAATTTACAGAAAAATTAAAAATATTTATATACTACTGAATCTGATGGAAAGTGTGGGAGAGCCATGCTTCTGCACGAATGTGCCGGCTCGACCGGTCTACTAACGAGCAGAAAACCGACGTAAATCAATCACAGCGTTGTGTTTCACCGGAGGCTTAATTACCCCCTCTTCAATCTCCCCGAATCCCTAACAATCCTGAAATTCATAACCCCCCAAAAGGCCAGCAACGCTCTTGTAACGTGTCGCTGCGGAGGATTAACAGGTTACCGGGGCTCCGGCTCGACGTGGAGGAGTAGGAACGGGGAGGTTTTTAGTCAGTAAGAGTCTGACACTCCCTCCCACGTCACCGCGGAGGACGTACTTAGTGATTTTCCCCCCTTAACACGTTCAGACCGGCGTGTACCACCGGTGGAGCACGAAGTATTTGCTGCCACGGCAAGGTGTACCACCGGTGGTACACGCCGGTTTGAATGTGTAAAAAAGCGTCTCCAGTGTTGCGGGCGTCCATGGGCGACGCCGATTGCTTACCATCAGGTGATCCGTCTGCTCGTTTACCGGCTTATCCCATAAAAGTAAAGATATAATTTTATATGAGTAATCAATTATCATTTTACTATCTTCCTTTAATATTATAAATGCGAAATATTGTGAGCTTTGTGTGTATGTTTGTTCTTAATCACATCAAAACCGCTGAAGGGATCAGGGTGCTTACTCTTGAAACCAATCTCAATGTCAATACAATTTCAATCCAATAAAACCTCAATAATTATACAATGTCAACACTATACAACCACAATCGTAGCAGTTACAATTTTTTTTTTAAGGGGGGAAAATCATCGAATGACTGCTCCCGCCTGGGTGAGGCGGAAGGGAGTGTCAGACTCTTACTGACTAAAAACCACCCCGTTCCTTCTCCTGCACGTCGAGCCGGAGCTCCGGTTACCCGTTACCCATTCAGAGTACGGAATATAAAAACAAACTCGATACCATTTAGTTCATTCAATATCCACGCAATACGGATGCAATGGGCGCTAGTGTTGCAACTCAAGAGTACGATATTTCACAATACCAATGTCGATCGATCGGAATTGGATTCAAGAGTAAGCCCCTGGTTATTCGGAACAGGGGTAGATTTGTTCTATAGAATAACATATATGGTACTTTTTATCCTACAGGAACGCGGGCAATCCCGCGGGTAAAAGGTAGTGATGATAATAAAATTCAGAAAAACAGTGTTAAAACATATTTATTTGTTATAAGTATTTATTTAACATTTATATTTGCGTTACACACTTTAGTGCAATAGTGAATTGTTCCGAAAAACAATAATTTTACATAGAAATTCTTAACAATTAAATAAATATTTAGAATTCTTCATTCTCGAATGGATGGTACTTATGGCCCAGTGATCTGAAAAAGAAATTAAAATTTAATTTATTTAATCACATAACATCACGCCTTTTATCCCCGAAGGGGTAGGCAGGGGTATAGGGGCACATTACGGAACTTAATGCCACTATACACCGTGATATTTTAATGGTTGTTTTCCCGCAGCAGAACGATTTCCCTTTAGTAGTACTATCGAATAATGCAAGTTACTTTTTGAAAAAAAAATTTTTTTTCTCCTCATCTACTCAAAAAAATAATCATCAACTCGAAAGCATGAGAAACGATAGTTTCTCTTCTAAAATGTGACGTCAAATCAATGTTCATAGTAAAATAATCTCTCGTACTTAGTAATACAGCATAAACTACAATGCACGCGCGCGCGAGCGGATCGCCTCACGAAGTCACGACAAACAACAAAGGCAACCACCGCGCTCTCTGTCACTCGCATCGGTTCGCACCGGCTCGCATGGCTTTCATTCGCACCAGTCGCACCGCGGACGCCGTCCGTGCAACCGCGTAAGCGCAGTACAATATTGTCGCCGCCAAAATGGATCGCCATTACGTTTTTTCTAACGTGGAGTACGTAGCTATGGTGCAATTGTACGCGAGGGCAAATTATGATTCGCATGCCGCCCGTCGACTTTACGAGGAGCCGCGGCACATGGAGTCACTTCGTCTTCGCGGCTTTATTTTGTGACAGGACACTTAACTGGTGAAACGTACCTACAAATGCTACGTAGTGTTATCCCGGACTTATTAGATGACATTCCGTTAGCAGTGCCCATGGATAGCCTGTATTACCAGCACGATGGTTGCCCTGCGCATTATCAGCGCGCCGTGCGAGAGCACCTCGACTCGGTGTTTCCCCAGCGCTGGATCGGTCGTGGCGGGCCAGTGCCATGGCCACCACGAAGTCCGGATCTTACTCCACTAAACTTTTATTTGTGGTCTAATCTCAAACGCCTTGTGTATCGGCAAGAATACGAAACTCGCGACGCGTTAAAAAGTGCGATAGTGGACGCTTTTGATGTGATTAGACGTGACAGAGACACATTATTAAAATTGAAAGCCAATCAGTTAAAACGTGCACGATTGTGTGTGGAACGCGGTGGCTTACACTTTGAACAATTGCTCCGTTACCGGGAAGTGTAAGTACTTGTACATTTGTAAATAAAACAATAAGTTGTGTGATTAAAATCATTGTAAATACGTTGATTCCCATTTTTTAAATACGCCTTAAATACTTTGCCAAATTCAGTAATAAACAAGATAATATCTCTTGATTAAATTTTGTTTATGTTTATGTTTAGTAAGTGTAGTTAAAAAGTATTTACGACGGTCCCAAGCCCGTTAAAGTATGAAGGGAAAATGGAAATCACTTGTTAGTAAATACTGAGTTATCAGCCTTTTGATAAGCGCGAGCGACAATGACAGCGGCCGGTGGCCGGTCGCGGCGGTACTATTGGTTCGCGGTTTCTTTCAAGTTTCGTGTATCACTATCGTAAAACTGCTATTTTTTTATTTAAATTAAAAACAACTTTCTCAATCTATTGTACTACTAAGATAGAATCATTTTACTGTGGGAAAACAACCATTAAAATATCACGGTGTATAATGTAACACCCACTTTCCACTATTTATGTTATGAGTCCCATGTAATAAGGGGTGAGCCTATTGCCATATACCGGACACAGGTCCAGACTCCGTGCTACTACTGAGGTTTTTACAAACCTTACTTTGCCCGACCCGGGAATCGAACCGGACGGCAAGTACCAATGTGACTTTTTCAGAGTCATATGTACTTTCTAAGATTATCTAGACACCACTGACAAACGGTGAAGGAAAACATCGTGAGGAAACCTGGGCTTATAATTTCTAATTATAAGTTTGTAATCGCCAACCCGCATTGAGCAAGCGTGGTGATTAATGCTCAAACCTTCTCCGTGTGAGAAGAGGCCTTTGGCCAGCAGTGACTTTAAGGCATTTGCTGTGTTGCTTTTGTTGTGTTTGTTATTGTCAGTAGATGGTTCTTATGATAGAAAAAAAAATCCTGATAACCTTATGGGAACGGGAAAAAACGGTATTGCGCGTGTTACATAGCTACAGTCCATGGATTCCGCAGATTGGCAAATTATTTGAAATACATATTAACCCCTCGAGCGTCCTTATGAGCACCCGGTGGATCATAAGAAAAAATGCTCCATGCTGCTTTCTCTTTTATAAAATCCATTATTAATGTTTTGTTTTTATTTTGACTGTATTTGTTTTATTTCTATTGTAATGATCCTTGTTTTCAAACTCAAAGTCAAAATCATTTATTTCAATTAGACCAGGAAGGCACTTTTAAACGTCAAAACAAAATATTTAAATATTAAATAAGAAAAAATGTCAGTCTGTAGGTCAGTCCTCTAGTGAAGCTATTTGCTCGTTCCAAAGTGTAGATTCCTATGGAGAAGAACGAGCAAGAAACTCCATAGGTGTGCCGATCGTTTCGTGTGCCAATGGCCAAATAAATGCATTTTCTTGCATGCATAAGGAACGCGGACGCTCGACGGGTTAATATTGCATCAGTCGTGCAGCGATGGTGAAATTGCTGCATCAGCCATCGTGCCCTACAACGTGACGGACCAGACGACGACATCATTTTCTAGAATACACGACACTTATGTTTCCAACTTCGACCAAGAGTCACTTAATTTAGAAATAATACTTTTCTGTAATTTCATTCAATATTTTTTTTATATAAAAAACGTTGTCCCACACTAGGATTTTATCCTGTGTCGTGTGTGCGTTTACAAACATACAAGTTTACATACATATCACACCCAGACCCGGAACAACAATCTGTGGATCACACAAAGAGTTGTTCCGTGCGGGAATCGAACCTGCGTCACGTTGCGCGGCAGCCAGTTGCCCAGCCACCGCGCCAACCGTGCAGTCATTAATTAGTTGCAATCAATTTCGTCCTTATTTGCAACTTGCCTGCGGGAAAGATATAAATAAATAATGACACTCACGCAGCCATGGGCACCATGCGTCCGTTGCAATCGAAGGAATCTATCAACGACATATCTTCCTGCGACAGTTTGAAGTCAAACACATCAAAGTTGCTCGCGATACGGGACGCCGTCACTGACTTCGGTATCACAATGTTGTTCCGATCAATTTGATAACTGAAATGATCAAAATAATACATTTTTACCCCCTTTTACCCCGGTAGTGTTAGGCAGAGGTGGACTTAATGCCACTGTACAATGTAACACCCACTTTTCACTATCTATGTTATGAGTCCCATGTAATAGGGGGTGAGCCTATTGCCATATACCGGGCACAATTCCAGATTCCGTGCTACTACTGAGAATATTTAAAAAAACTCAGTAATACTTTGCCCGACCCGGGAATCGAACCCGAGACCCCTTGCCGGGCAGTCGCACTTGCGACCACTTGGTCAACGAGGCAGGCAGAGGCACATATAAAAAGTAGAGACGGATAAACCCAGAGAGCTCCCAAGGCTGATGCCTATGTGGTCATAGGCAACCCCTAATTTGTTTTTGGAGCGAAAATAAACACACAGTGTGGGAGAGCCATGCTTCGGCACGAATGGGCCGGCTCGACCGGAGTGATACCACGGCCGAACAGAAAACAGACGTGAAGCAACGCTTGCGTTGTGTTTCGTCGTGTGAGTGAGGTTACCGGAGGCCCAATTACCCTCCCCTTCCCCATTCCCTGAATCCCCAACGATCCTCAAACTCCTAATCCCCAAAAAGCCGGTAACGCAATTGTAACGCCTCTGGTGTTCCAGGTGTCCATGGGCGACGCCGATTGCTTACCATCAGATGATCCGTCTGCTCGTTTACCGGCTTATGCCATAAAAAAAAACACACAGGTCAACCTTAGACCCTCCATTTTTAGAAGCAGTCTATCTTTCTTCCTTTCTTTCTTTAAAAATCAACAAAAAATAAATGAAACTTACCGAATCAGAACTTGAGCGACAGTTTTGCCGAGCCTATCTGCGATGGCCTTCAGCTTGGGGTCTTCCAGTAGACTGGGGTCGTCAGGCTTGGCCCAGGGTCTGTCAGGAGACCCCAGGGGGGAGTAAGCTGTGATCGTAATCTTGCGCGCCTCACAGAAATCTTTTAAACGGCGCTGGTTCAGATAGGGATGACATTCGATCTAAAAAATAAAGGGAAATTATGATAATCATGTTCTTAATCGCCTCTGCCTCGTTGGCCGAGTGGTCGCAAGTGCGACTGCCGGGCAAGGGGGATTCCCAAATCTGGTAAAATATTCCTAGTTTTTAAAAAAAATGTTATTTGAGGCAAAAGGTGTGATGTTATGATGATGATGATTTTAATATAACCATGCAACTGTCTTGGACCCGCAACGAAATAATTCAGAAGATATTCTATATTATGTTCGTGAACGGGCACTGGTCAGCTCCAGACTGTATTAAATTTGTTGTCCTCAAGGTTATTTTCTTTTTCCTTCTCCTTAACTGAATATATTTACATTGTTCTCACACAATAGGGTAGTTTCCTAAATTTTATTTCAATGTCCGTCTGGTACATTAATTTAAAACTTTAGACACGTATTTTTTCTTTTCTCACAAAACTAAATACTTACGACGATATATTAATTTGAAATATCGTGTGACGTCACAGCGTGTCACATTTTGTAGCACGTTATGACGTAACGACCTCCCACTCCTAACACTTAGCGCCATTTTATCTAAGTATTGCAACTTAATACGAGAAAATAAAAAAATACGTGTCTAATATTTGTTCACTATCTAACTGACAACTAATTAGATTTTTAATTTTGATACCCTGGAAACTACCCAATGGGGATGATGACAGGGTATGAAAATTAAAAATATAATTAGTCCGTAAGTTAGGTAATGAAAAAATATTAGACACGTATTTTTTTATTTTGTCGTATAATAAAACAATACTTAGATAAAACGAATCAAAGTTTAGGAGTGGGGGCTAAAACGTCATTTCTTAGTATAAAATGTACTGAGAAGTGACGTCACGCGACATTTCAAATCAATATATCTTCGAAACTATTCGTTTCTGTGACAAAAGAAAAAATACGTGTCTAATGTTTTTAAATAATCTACCAGACGGACATAAAAATAAAAATTAGTCGTCTACCCTATTGTACTAACGAAACAATGTGACCAAGAATTGTATTGTGAACCTGATTGATAAAGAGTAATCTATGGAGTTTCTTGCTCGTTCTTCTCCATAGGAATCTACATTTTGGAACGAGCAAATAGAGCAACTAAAGGACTGACTGAAAGACTGACATTTCTTCTTTAATATTTAAATATTTAGTTTCTTTTTACGTTGAAAAGTGTCTTCTTGGTCTAATTGACTTTTTTTTATTTGGGACAAGTCCGCCACAACCTCCCAAAACCGCTGCAACTCCTGTACATCAGGATCTACAGTAGATACAACCATGCAAACACTGGAACACTGAAGTCCAACGTCCCAGGGACATGAACGTCTTGGATCCCGCAACGAAATAAATCAGAAGATATTATAAGAGGAGAAAATAACTCACTTGGTTGGTGACGGGCACAATGCTGGCATGCTCCAGAAGTCTGGCGACTTGCTTAGAGTTGAAGTTTGAGATGCCGATACTCTTGACGAGACCCTCACCAACGAGTGGCTCCAAAGCCTTCCATGTGTCCACGTAATCCACGTCTGAGAATGCTATCTTATCATTTTCAGCCTTTGGGAATAACTCGCCTTCTTCCTGCAAAGAAATCAATTACTTTTTAGTTCACCAACCTGTTCTAATATTAAGGAACCCCTAAGGTAAGATAGGTGCCGCGGAAGACTTAACGGGTTACCGGGGGCTCCGGCTCGAAGTGCAGGAGTAGGAACGGGGTGGTTTTTAGTCAGTAAGAGTCTGACACTTCCGGCGGACGCAGTCATTCGATGATATTCCCCCCTTAAAAAAAGCTAAGATAGGGGACATCTAACAGATTTTGGTATAACCTGGGTGTCTTCGAGACCCGAGTGAATAGGTTGCTTATGGGACGACGTGCTCCATCGTAGACCGCATCATCGCTTACCACCAGGCGAGATAGTGGTCAAACGTCGGCCCGTCAAAAATATGAGAGGTTACCGGACGCTCAATTACCACTTCTTCAATTTCCCCAATCCCCAATCATCCTCAAATATCTAATCCCCAAAAGGCCGGTAACACACTTGTAACGCCTCTGGTGTTCCAGGTGTCCATAGGCGACGCCGATTGCTTACCATCAGGTGACCCTCAGCTCGTCTATCGGCTTATTCAAAGACATTTGAGGCGCGGATAACCTAACGGGTGACCGGGGCTCCGGCTCGAAGTGCAGGAGTAGAAACGGGGTGGTTTTTAGTCAGTAAGAGCCTGACACTCCCTCCCGCCTCACCCAGGCGGGAGCAGTCATTCGATGATTTTCCCCCCTTAAAAAACCTTACCTTGTAAGCCTGGGGCCAATGAATGAGGTAGAGGTCCAGATATGAGAGGTTGAGATTCTCCAAACTCTTCAGGAGTGCACCCTTCACCAGGTCCGGTCGGTGGAAGGTGTTCCATAGCTTGGAGGTGATGAACAGGTCCTCTCTGGAAGAAATTGGTATATTTTATACTAATATCTCCGGAACTACCACCAGTTAGAATTGAATCATTATTTTTGTATTTATATTATAAATTCCGTGAGTTAATGACTGCCTCGTTGGCCGAGTGGTCGCAAGTGCGACTGCCGGGCAAGGGGTCTCGGGTTCGATTCCCAGGACGAGCAAAGTATTACTGGGTTTTTAAAAAAAATCTTAGTAGTAGCACGGATTCTGGAATTGTACCCGGTATATGGCAATAGGCTCACCCCCTATTAAATGGGACTCATAACATAAATAGTGGGTGTTATATTGACTAGTTTCAAGCCATGCTAGAGGCTCAGTAGACGGGAGATTATAATAGCCAGTACCAGCGCGACAGTCGCCGCGTCGCGGGGCGCGGAATGTTGCTCATTAATATGAGCTCATAGATATAGGCTACTTTTTAACCGACTTCAAAAAAGGAGGAGGTTATACGTTCGGCCAGTATGTTGCTTTTTTTTGTTCTTACCTTTTAACAGTGCCATCAGCGATCTTAGCAGAGATGGCAGCACCGACCTCCTTCTCATTGCCATAGACATAGGCGCAGTCTATATGTCTGTAGCCAACTTCTATGGCTGTTTTCACGGCCTCCGTAACTTCGCCTGGTTTCGACTGGAGGCAAAAAAAACATTACCAGTTAATATTACATAACATAACATCACGCCTTTTTATCCCCGAAGGGGTAGGCAGAGGTGCACATTTCGGCACTTAATGCCACTGTACAATGTAACACCCACTTTTCACTATTTATGTTATGAGTCCCATGTAATAGGGGGTGAGCCTATTGCCATATACCGGGCACATTTTTCCAGACTCCGTGCTACTACTGAGATTTTTAAAATATTAACATTTATTAATTGAAAATGTTTTTGACATATCAATAAAATTACTGAATTGGGTAGATGACTAATTTTTATTTTAATGTCCGTCTGGTAGAATATTTAATAACATAAGACACGTATTCTTTATTTTCTTACGGAAACGAATAGTTTTGATGATATATTGATTTGATATATCGCATGACGTCACTTTTGAGTACGATTTATACTCTGAAATGACGTAGCTACCTCCCACTCCTACCCGAGCATACGGCGCGTCGCGTTCCGCGCGCGTCTCAAAGAGCCATCAGACCACCACGGATGGGACCCAATAGGGCTGATGCCGATACGGAGCCGCGGAGAACCTAACGAGTTACCGGTGCCCCGGCTCGCAGGAGTAGGAACGGGGTGGTTTTTGGTCAGTAAGTGTATGACACTCCCCTCTCGCTTCACCCGGGCGGGAGAAGTCATTCGAAAAAAAGCGCCCACTCCTAAACTTTGATTCGTTTTATCTAAGTATAGTTTTATAATACGAGAAAATAAAAAAATACGTGTCTAATATTTTTTCATTATCTAACTGACGGACTAATTAGATTTTTAATTTTCATACCCTGTCATCATCCCTATTAGACACTTTTCTTTATTATTTTTTTCTTTTAAAAAGTAAACGTTTCGCCACTCTGGTATTGTCTCCTGTGTCCTGAATGCGTTTACAAACATAACCCGTGCAGATAACCCAGTTTTAATATACATAACATCGCGCCTTTAATCCCCGAAGGGATAGGCCGAGGTGCACATTACGGCACTTAATGCCACTGTACAATGTAATACCCACTTTTCACTATTTATGTTATGAATTCCATGTAATAGAGGGTGACCCTATTGCCATACATCGGGCACAATTCAATAATCCGTGCGAAGAACTGAGATTAAAAAAAACACTGAAATTCTTTGCTCGACCCGGGAATCGATCCCGAGACCAGTAGTCGCACTTGCGACCACTCAGCCAATGAAGCAATAGTAATATACAGCTTGGCAACAAAGAGTACCTATAGAATAGGCTAGAGGTCGCTAGTATTGTTACACACGGCCACACATCAATCTATACAAAACCAGTTTACCCTGGTGTCGCGTCGCATCATCTTTCCGCACATTTAACGTTCAGTTTATACTGGTTATGTAAAGCTCGATGTGTAGCCGTGTGTACCTGTGGCAACCCGGTACACTACGACTCAATCGGTTTTGATATTTGTTATTTTTATCGAGTTTAAAGAGAGGAGGTACTGTGTTCGGATGATTGTTTATTCATGGGATATGGTCCGAAGTGGGTAATTCAGTCCAAGTCAATATTAGTACCAGCTGTCGCCGCATCAAACTCTTTCGTTTGCCAAACTTTTTTATGCGATAAGCCGATAAACGAGCAGACGGATAACCTGATGGTAAGCAATCGGCGTCGCCCATGGACACCTGGAACACCAGAGGCGCTATAATTGCGTTATCAGCCTTTTGGAGATTAACCCTTTGAGTACCGTTATTATAGACACAAAGAACAATAGGTGTGCAGACACCGGTGTCCTCGCGGTGTTTGACAGTTTAATAGGAATTTAAGGATTATTGGGGATTCGGGGATTGGGGAGGGGGTATTTAGGCCTCCGGTAACCTCACTCACATGACGAAACATAACACTTCGGTTGTTTCACGTCTGGTTTCTGCTCAGCCGTGGTATCACTCCGGTCGAGCCGGCCCATTCGTGCCGAAGCATGGCTCTCCCACACTGAACATATTTGCAGTTTAAACCGGTTTTGAGTTATCATACAATAGTCATGTAAGTACTATGTGAACTACTTTTATAAGAGGCTCAACTATATGATAAGAAATATACGAAAAGTATTTGTTAATGATAAATATATATACATGTTTTAACACATTATTTTTAGCAAAGTTTAGTTTGTAAGTCACATCATCGAAGTCAAAGTCAAAGCAATTGTTTCAATTAATCCTTGATTAGGCACTTTTGAAGATTCAAAAGTGCCTGAGTATAGATATACTCTATACTAATATTATAAAGAGGAAAAATTTGTTCCTATTTTTGTATGTTTGTAATGAATAGGCTCAAAAAGTACTGGGACGATTTAAAAAATTCTTTCACCATTAGAATGTTACATTCTTCCAATTTGACATAGGCTACATTTCATTTTGAAAAAAAATAGGGATCCTTGGTAAAATTTGAACAATGTAACGGAAGATGTGGAAAAATGAGTCTTAAAATGTCTTTCGAGGAATGCGCTGCCGAAACTATTAGCGATAGACAACAATATTGAAGAACATAATGTCTACAAAAAACTCCGCGGTAGCATATGTCCAACTATTGTAGTTATGTCACTACAACAATCCAAATTTCCAAAAATAAATAATTGTCTACCCCGTGCGAAGCCGTTCGTCGTTAGTGAATCTAGGTGTTCGAATGGAAAAATACGAGCAAGAAACACTATCGTTACTCTTTTTAAAAAATGATTTCACATCACATGGTAACACCAGTAGACTTATTTACCACCCTAACTTTTCTAACGGGCATGGCAAACCTCTCTTATGTAGAGGAGGCCCATAGTCAGCAGTGGAGAGTACAATCTCCGGCCACAGAAAGTGTGGGTCTGCGGGCGGTGAGCGAGGGAAGTTCGCCGCCCGATCAGAACCAGACCCGTGTGTACGGCGGCCTCAAAGAGTCATCAGACCACCACACATGGGGCCCTATATGGCCCATACGGAGCCGCGGAAGACCTAACGGGTTGCCGTGGCTCCGGCTCGAAGAGCAAGGAACTGGGTGGTTTTTAGTCAGTAAGAGTCTGACACTCCCTCTCGCCTAACCCAAGGCGGGAGCAGTCATTGGATGATTTTCCCCCCTCAAAAAAGCAGTAGAAGTGGATAGTCCCAGACTATTGACAATGCTGATGAAATTCAACGGCTAAATCTAGTATTACAAGTGGTTTGTAAAAGATAAAATCATGATAAGTATCTGACAGACACGCCTTAAGCTTATATTACGTATCTTGTCATAAGAATTTTAGATATCAGATATTGGCTGCACCGCACCGACTGCAGCGCACAACACGGCAGAAATTGGAAACAAATGCGGATGATGCAAACCCGGTTTTTATTATTATATTCATTTTACAGTAAAACTATTGAATAAATTGCACTTAAATTATGTCAACAATACTATTTTAATCTTTGGTTTTATTTATATTTGCAAAAAAAATTTTAATGTTTACATTGTTATTATTTGACAGTTTCCGCAAATGTTGTAATGCTGTAAACGCAACGCGTCGCCACCGTCGCCCACATTGCCAATAGTACACAATTGGGTAGGTATTTGAAAACTAGTCAAATTCAATACTTTTTTAGAACTGTCAAAAACTACAGTTTTTCTACGAATTTTGTACGAGACTGTATTGTGACGTCACGTATTTTTTTAGCGTCAAATACGCAAGCATACTTATTGCTTAAAAATTTGCTGGAAAAATACTAAAATTAAGTTTTTCATAAAATCTACCAATGAAAGTGTGATTACTTTTTAATATTTTATTGTATTGAACAGTCGAAATAATTTATTTTTGATTAAGGAAAGTAAGCAATTGTTCTAGTATAAACCTTCATCGGTTTCTTAATTGTCGCAGTGGCCCGGTGGTTTAAAATGCCCGCTTCTCGTATGCGGCGCGGGCTCGAAACCTACCAACGGCAAGTACCAATGTGACTTTTTCCGAGTTATACGTACTTTCTGAGATTATTTAGATACCACTGACAAACGGTGAAGGAAAACATCGTGAGGAAACCTGGACTTATAATTTCTAATTATAAGTTTGAAATCGCCAACCCGCATTGAGCAAGTGTGGTGATTAATGCTCTTTACGCCTGTAAATACATAAATACACGCCTGTCTCCCATGGGGGTAGGCAAATACTATAAAAATAAATAGGTATAAAAAACCAACTGCTACGATTCTTACATACTTTTTCACTTCATCAACAGTCATCAATCTTTTCATGCATGCTCGTCGGTTAAGGGTACTTTTAATTTGGCCCTTAACTTATCTATACTAATATTATAAAGCTGAAGAGTTTGTTTTTTTGTTTGTTTGTTTGAACGCGCTAATCTCCGAAACTACTGGTCCGATTTGAAAAATTCTTTCTGTGTTGGATAACCCATTTATCAAGGAAGGCTATAGACTATAAAATATCACGCTACGATTAATAGGCGCCGAGCAGAGCGAGTGAAACCGCGCGGAAGTAGCTAGTTTAATATATCGCCAATCTGGTCAGTGTATGTTCGTTTAGGGCGCCCTCTACCGACGGCCTCATTCATATCCGCTCTGTATACTTCATTAAGTAGTCTACTTTCATCTATATTAAGTCTTTAACTACCTACTGCAGTGTTGAAAGCAAAGCCTCCGCTAATATCGGAATCGGACACGACGGTTAGTTTAGTCTGTTTAAGGCCAAAGTACATAAAAATATGTATTTTAATTGTATTTAAAACTAGACAACAATAGGATAATAAATCAAGGTAAGGTGAAAGAAACTAGCTAGCTAACTAATTAGAAAAAAGCCTGGGTACCTACGTCATTGTTTTTAATTATAATAAAATAAGAACTGACTTATATTCAATATAAGGACGGACCAAGGGGAAAGAAATAAAGAAAGAAAAACATTTATTCGACACATTGCATGCACAGAGATGGAAACAAAAAATGAGAAAAAAATTAATTAATTATAACACCAAATTGGCAAAAATAGATGCATGCCCATGCCGAACGGGCCTCCACCTCAGAATTATGTTGAGCGTGCATTATGGAAGCCTTTGTGCAGTAGTAGACGTCTTTCGGCTGTTGATGATGATGATTCATTATAAGGTATTCGCCAGAGTAGCAGGGAACCAGTGGATGCAGGTGGCAAGTTGTCGTTCGACATGGAGGACTAAGGGGGAGGTGTTTGTCCAGTAGTGGACATATTTCAGCTGTTGATGATCATGATTCATTATAAAGTATTAGCCAGAGTTGCGGGGAGCCAGTGGATGCGGGTGGGGAGTTGTCATTCGACGTGGAGGACTAAGGGGAAGGCCTTTGTCCAGCAGTGGACGTCTTCCAGCCGTTGAAGGTGGTCATGATGATAATTTGTTAAACCAACAACTTTGTTAAGACTTTGGCTGCCAATAAAAAACTGTTGAAGGTAAATCCTCCGCTAACGCCGGTCACCGGTGACCCCCATGGCGTTTAACATGTTAACTGTTCAATCCCCAAGTGGTCACCGGTGACCGCTCTCCACTTATTCCATTATAGACATTATTTTCGTTGGTTAGGGATTAGTTCTGTATGAACAAATTTTGGGGATTATAGGTAAGATATATCAATGTAATAAAGTTTAAACGGTTCTTATTTAACTTACCTCATTTGTTTGTTTGCGTAGGTATTGTTATTTTAACCCCTTCGTGACTACAGATCGATCTGATATATGTGATGTTTTATAGCCTTCCTCAATAAACAGATTATTCAACACGTAGATATCTTTTTAAATTGGAGCAGTTCCTAGTTAGAGATTAGTACGTTCAAATTCTTTAGCTGTATGTAACAAATAATAGATATATGCACAGAAAAGCACTGCCTTTAGGCAAAGTGGTCGCAAGTACGACTGCCGGACAAAGGGTTTATTACCCGGTCCAACAAAATATTACTAGGTTTTTAAAACACCTCAGTAGCACGGAGTCTGGAAATGTGCCTAGTATATGGCAGAAGGCTCGCCCCCTATTAGGTACATGGGACTCATAACATAAATTAATAATGAAAAGTTGGTGTTACATTGTACAGTGGCATAGTGCCCTAATGTGTACCTCTACCTACCCCTTCGGTGATAAATGTGATGTTATGTATGTATGTAAAGACGTTGCATTTAAGTATCTGTAATCGGATAGAAAAGCCACACTTCGTTTGAGAAAAAACACCAAAATAAACACGTTGTCTCACAAGTTTCTTGACGCCAAAAAAAATTCATTTCCTATGTAAATAATAGCGCAAAATAGAAATATACTGTATATAGAAAGTTTTTACACGTTTACTAGTCATTTGCTATGAATTAAACATTATTATTTGATGTTTACGTATGCAGATGCTAGGTACTTAACGATATTATGTATTTTGTAAAAGTTTTACCTTCCATGTACCAATTCCAAGGATGGGAATCTCACAGCCGTTGTTGAATTTAACTTTCACCATTTTAGAAGCCATAATAACAGCGAATCAGCGATAAATAAAAGAAAATTATAGGAAAAATACTTAGATAGACCGGCTGTCAAATTGAAATGACATTTGTTTAGACCCAAAAATATGTCATCTACGTCATTCATTCGAGGACAAAGCCCGCCAATATTTTGGCTTTTAGAATTTTTAGGGATGGGGTATTAATATTAATAACGAATTATAAATCGAGTACCCCATTGTATTCTTGACTTGACTATACAGAAATTTACCCAAATTATTAAATTGTTTGTTTCGGTTATCAAAATAAGCAATGTTTTTGATAAATTTATTATTTTAGGAGTCATATATACTGATTAGCGTAGTAGTGCAAAATCATTTGTTTTTACAAGACACATTTTAACTTCATTAAAAATAAACCACTTCCGCGCGGTCTCACTAGCCATTTGTCGTAAATTTTAGCTATATGGAGTCTTTGTTTATATCATCAATTTGTTTATAGAATCATTTTCGTGATTGGATGTGAAGTCAATATTTTTAAATAAACCTACGTACGACATATATGAAATGGTAAGAAAGAGTGCAACGCAACGTGTCACGAGTTGAATTACCCGACGGAATAATCCACAAAATAGTATGTTTTGTAAATACCCACGATACAAAAGAAAATTCTAATATGTGATGACGTTATTTTTCTTATAAAAAATTTCCTATTTACTTACTGACTGAATTTCTCTTGGTATATAATATTTCTACGTAAGTTTATACATACATAATCACATAATCGTACATTGTATATCTTTTTATTGCTATGGGAACGTACATTCATAAAAGCCCAAACACTCAAGTTGACAAGTCAAGGCTACCCAGTTTTTGTCCAGACACTGTTTGTCAGCAAATCAATATAGAATGGGTCATTTTGTAGGTATGTGTGTCTTGTTGATGTTGACTTGAGCTGACTTGAGTACAGGACAGTACTAATGACATGACTTGAGGACTTGAGACTTGAAGAGACAGTAATCCATATAGTTGGAACTGCTAAGTTCAAATAGTGGCCATAAGGATTACTAACAACCGAGTAAGGTTCGGTGATTGGTGCTCTCATTGGTTGGTTCATTGGAGTAGGCCATTCAGAGCTAATCTAACTTCTGAATCTTATTTATCTTACAGATAGATAGACACTTGAATTTGTATCGTCCTTGAAATAAAGACATAAGTACTACATTTACCTTATATTAAGTATACTAAACACGGTATTATCTTGTCTTACTGAACTGCATATCGCCTCAAAACCATTGTCAGTTTGATAAAATCAACAATATACGGGGATTTTTATTTGTCTTTGTTTTTTAAACTTTGCCCCATATTGTTATCGTTTCACGAAGAGAATACAATCATGATTTTGTGTTAAATTACGTGTGTAGATAAAGAAGTGCAGTTTACGATAAAACAGACAATTTGAAAGATAATTCAACGCATTTATCAATTTGATTGATTTGTAAGTATCTTCAAATATGGCTTATATTGTATTTACTAGAAAAATTACACAAAACAAATTAAATGTCTTGAAATATTTGCCACAATTACTATGAAAAACGGTTGAAAGCTTTATCAATCTCATACGAATAAATACATGCATACATACAAAACCTTATGCATGTTTCCCATGGGGGTGTAGTCAAAGACTATTGAACGCCAATTCCTACGATTCTTACATATTCGATTCTCTTTCTCTTTCTCAACAGACAATATTCCTACATGCATGCTCGAAGGTAAAGGCTACTTTGCATTTGGCCGTTCTTTAAGATATCCCCAACTAGCAAATCAGGCGGACTCCGTTTCGCCACCAGATGGCTTTGTTTTATGTAACATTATTTGCTAAAAACCTCACGGAGCCCGAGACCTTTCCAACGAATGCAAAACCGTGGAAATCGATTCGTGCGTTCTGGAGTTATAGCGTCAGGAAGGAAAACCCGATTTATTTTTATATAGTAGATATGGTCGAATATTTTCACCTAGGGCGCCCTCTACCGACGGTCCCATTCATATCCGTTCTACGTTCGTCTTTCGTAAATCTGCTTTCATCTATCCGTTCTACATGTCCAAACCATTGTAACAATCCCTTTTCAATCCTTCAATACGAATAAATATACACCTATGTTAATACTAATATTTAAAGTCGATGACTTCGTTTGTTTGAATTTGAACGTCCTAATTTCCGGAACTACTGGTATAGAATAATTATTTTTGTGTAGGATACTATATTAATCGAGTCAGACTATATGCTATAAAACGAAACACTGTGTTCAATACGATAATATTAACTTTACTTTATCCTTTCGATACTAAACACCGTCTACTATCTATCTCTAAACAAAATGTTATCTAGTGTTATTGGTGTTTAGATATTTTATCAACGTCAGTATTTAATTAAAAAGTTTTTTTAATAAAATAAAATTACGCTCGTTACTCCATATTTTTAAAATTAAAAAACCATTAAAATTTTGTATTCGACAAGAGAATGTGTTATTCGATCTACTATTTCGATTCTTAAAAACTACTCTTGAGTTGACATTATCATTATTAAATTATGGCGACTTATAAATCTTAAAAAGTAATAAAATCATAACTAAAGTCAAAAAATATGCTGAATAAGTGAAATAATTAACTAATATTTTACTAGGTTTTTTGTTTTAGTTACCTAAATTGATATTAATCAAAGTTTGGCTGAAAACCGCTTAAAAAATAACCCAATAACGGAGAAAATTAAAAAAAACAAACGTTCATTACAATTACACACATTCATCAAATTATTAACAACAATAAATAAATAATTAAACGTTAACAACATACCTTCCAGGTACCAATTCCAATGGCGGGAATCTTCTGTCCATTATTAAAAGTTATAGTTGGAACGCGCACCATTTTGACAGACGTCCGTTCGGCGAGGCGAAGGAATATAGAATAAACAGCCGACCAAGGCTAGGTTATCTATGCTATCAATGTATTACATGGAGTGTGTGTGATAAACATTATTATATAATAACCGGCTTGTTGGAACGTTTTACACGATTGTCTGTTATATTGAATTTGTAGTTCTTGTTTGCCACGGTTTTGCTTGTACGGAAAAGTTGAGAGAATTTAGTAGGCATCTGTTTTCAGGACATTTAATAATCTAATGACATTTTTGACTGAGATAGGCGACAAAATGTAGCCATATCAATTCTTCACAATGTATTTTTTTTAATCTCAACAGTGTCTCAGCTGCAGAGAACCTAAAAGGTTACCGGGGCTCCAGCTCGAAGTGCAGGAGTAGGAACGGGGTCGTTTTTAGTCAGTAAAAGTCTGACACTCCCTTCTACCGAATCTAGGCGAAACAAGCCATTTGATGATTTCTCCCCCTTAAAAAAACGCACCAGCACGAAATCTAGGTGATAACGTGTCTCTGAGACGTCACCAGGCGAAGCATTAATTGTTGTTTTTATTTTCTAAATCATCAGTAACAGCGAATAGTGTGTAACTATGAGCATTTTACCTGTTGCGATCATATTATGATCGAATATGGAACCTTACATGCAACTATAATTAGTCTAGTCAAATCTACCGACCAATAAAATATGGAGACTGACCGTATTCAAAGAATAGATGGTGTAAAACTTAATTCTATTAGGCAAATACCTATCCCTTGAAAATGCCGCGGTGGACTTAACGAACTGCCGGAGTTCCGGCTCGAAAGGCAGGAGTAGGAACGGGGTGGTTTTTAGTCATTAAGAGTCTGACACTCCCTCCCGACCCGACTCGATGATGTTCCCCCTTCAAAAAAATCCATTGAAAATACAAAACATTATAATTATACATCTCACACAAGAATCGGCTTTCAATAAAACATCTGCCTAAAAGTTTTCACTGATAGATAAAAATGTGACACAAATTTTTTTATCAGTTTGTTTTATTGATTGCTATTTATACATTTGACCCTATAAAACCTCCATCACGCACGTAATTAAATAAATTAATTTATTTGTAATCTCTTTGATAGTCATTGTGTCGTTTGTTGTAAATGCGATTGTAAATACAGATGTACGAGTTAGCTCTTTCAGATAAAATGCAATATTTTTCTGGTTTGACAGCTTCATTGGTCAAGTAATTAGGTATAAGTGCGACCTTAGTTACGTGTTGGATACCCGGATATGACTAACATTAATTTTGTAGGATTTTCGTAAATTCTCGTAATATGAAATTATGCACGGTATAATGGCGAAAGGCTTACCCAATGACATAAGTCTCATTAAATGATTGGTGAAAAAAGAGTAATACAAATTGAGTGAAACCTGATCGTTATTGAAAAAAAACATAGAAAATACTTCGCTTTAAACTTATTACCAAGTGCGATGTTATTACTTTTTCAATCGATATCTAAAGTCCTTGTGTATATAGATTAAAGTAACTAACAGACTAACACATCATTATGTACTTCGCTTTGAAGGTCCTCCATCACAGTCGATCTATTATTTATTAACAGCCGACAATCGATCGATTCTCTAATATTATAACAGATACTCTAGTTCAAGTATTAATTACAACTAACATCACTAGTTTAATTGTCTATGATATTTTATTACGTTTTACTTCCGTATTCTATCCATAGTTTACCAGTTTTAGTTTGTTACTACTTACAAACAGCTGTTTTTCACAGAGATTTAGGTAGTAAAATAGTTATTTTTCATCATTTTTGTACCTATTTGGTTACATACCTACATATTGCGACATAATTTCACAACCTAGCGCAACTTTTGTCACTGAAGCTTTTACACGTCACCACCTTTTTTCTTATAATAATTTGAGGTTACCGTTTCCCGCGTTTATAAGTGGATTCCAAGGAAATATGACTAAGTTTTACTCATTAGCGTAAGCAGTTTTTTTTTCTAAAGTAGGTATTTTAGCTTGGAGTTTCGTAATAGACGTGACGTCCCCAATCAGAAAAAGGTCAAGGTCTATATTGAATTAGAAAAAAGTCAAGGTCTTTGATT